CAATTTGACAGACCCCAGGCGCGTGGCGTGGAGTAACATTGGACATTTCCTCTCTCTTCTCTCGGAGGATGATTACTTATGTCGAGGAAATGCTTTATGGGAAGCAACAGTTCAATGGGTGTGGCAGATTCACGGCACCGTCGGCCAAGAAGATTCTGGTAAAGCCGGTTTGAGTCTAGCTGAAAAGGGCTTCTCAGAGCTGTTTGAGCACCTCAGGGCATGCGTGGAGGTATTTCTTAACGATGGTTCACTAGAGTTATCAACCGGTGACCCAGAAGTGGAATCTGTTGTAAGGTTAGTCGTCATCGCATGCGATTCTTCTCTCAAATTTTCAAAGAACTCAGAGAGTAGGCAGCTCACAGAGGGCTTATTTCGACAAACTGTGGAGGTTCTTCAACATGCTGCAGGACATGTCTACGCCTCAGAAGGTAGAACAGAGAGAGCCGCCAGGATTCTTTCGGGCGTCTTACGCCACATGAATAGCACGACGGCCTCTCAAGGAAACTCGAATGAAAAATCAGATGGCATCGCCACAGCAACGCAGAGCATCGATAACAGCATGGGAATCATGGAAGAGCTGTTGAAGACCAGTGGCGCAGACATTCTTGAGCTACTTTTGAGGAAGCTCAGCACTACGCCTTCGACCTTCTCTCCAGTGGACAGAAGCTCTGCTTTCCTTGACCTCGCTGGAGAGCTGTTCATGTTTATGGCCGTTACTGTGAACTCCGTTCATGGTTTGGAGGTGTATTTCCAGTTTATTGAAAATCTCGTACAAAGAAGCCGTACAGTAGTCCTGGACAAGCAGTCAGACAGACAGAAGTTGACTCTGAGCGACTGGCGTTCTTTTGTGTTGGCCATGAAGTGTCTCGCCTGGTGTTCCACAGCTTTAAGAGCCAAACCAAACCTTCACACCATCCACCTTGTGCAGGCTCTGTCACAAACGGTGGCCGAATTTGATCTGAGTTCCGAGTTCCCAAAACCCAGGTTTCTGTATCAAGGCGAGGCTCGTGAAGATACTTCAGCAGAGACAAGCATGTTAGTGAAGAAAGGTTGGGGAAGACTGGTTTCTGACTTCATCGAAGCTCAGTGGCGATGTGTCGAATTTCTGCTTGAGCACGAGTACTCCGATAGTGGGGGCAGACAGCAGAGAGACAAATTGGAGCCCTTTTTGGCAACCCTCCCTGACGCGGCTCTCGAAGCTCTCTCTTTGGGTTCTGGCCTTTCGGTGGTACCTGTAATTAGATGTGTGCGCCTGTTAACCCCACGAATGTTGCTGACAGATGACGTGCTGTGCTCACAGGCTCTTGAATCTGTGTGGTGGACATTTCAAGACCGGCAAAAGGGCGATCATATCTGGTTCTGGGGAACTTTGAGAGAGATGACAAAAGTGCTTTTTAATCCTTGTCTTCTGGTTCTGCCCGAGGAACACCCCATGACTGCAATAGTGCGCAAGTACTGGGGCGAGTTGTTGACTCTGGGAGAAGATCGTCCAGGAATTGTGAATCACGTGATTGGACCGTGCTGTGAATTTTGGGCGAACTGCCAAAATAGTGATCCAAATCCAGCTCATGAAGTCAGCGAAGAAGATCGTAAACGAAGCTTAGAAGTTCACTTAGATTTCCTGACCGAAGCTTGCGTTTTTGGCCCCAGAGTAAAGAAGACAATACGTGTTACGTATTATGTGCTTGAGTATATTCGTATGCTTGGCGAGAAACGCGAGATTAACCCCTTGTACATGGACGAACTGCGCGATTACACGCGTGTGCGAGTGAACGCGATTAACATGCTACTGACGTTAAATCCAGAAAACGAGCGTGACGCGAGACTTATGAAACGTGTCGTCCGCGTATTCATCACTAAACTTGACGAGCTGACAGAAGAAAAACCGCGTTCGTCTATCAACTCGTATTCGCACAGAAGAAAGCATCGAGTGTGGCAAGCGATCCTCGTGGCGCTCTCTCAGTTGTTCAAGGCTGACACCGAAGTGATGTTTGCGGGTGAAGTCTTGGAAGAGACCTTTCGCGCCAGTGTTAGTGAAAATCAAGTGTCGGTCAGGAACTTCCTCCAGTGGGCAATGGTGCTCATTTTAGGAAGGTAGGTAAACATGACGTACTGCAACCTGTACGCAAATCAGCTTTGATCTCAGCCTCTCCCTCCTTTGTCTCCCTTGTCGTTGGGGAGAAGGACCTTGGTTGCGGCTGGTCACGCGACCAGCCAGAATCTGGGTGGTAAAAAAAATATGTTGGATGGGAGGAGTGGCAGAGCGTCTTGATTGTTGCTGCGGCACAATCAGTCTCTATCCTCAACGACAAAGGAAACAGGAGAGTGAGCCCTCTGGTCGAGGTGTTCCGAAACATCTCGTTTAACATCCAGTCGTTACTTTTCTGGCTTAAGAACAGAAACGTCTGCGTCCAGCTGCCTATAGGCCTGAGCTAATATATGTCTGTGAGATAAGAACCGGGAGAGGACTACCCAAGTAGGCAATAAACGTTCACTGCATTAGCCACGCAGTGGATGAACACATAATTATCCAATTAGAACCCGCTAATTCGAAACCGTTAATTTCGAAATTAAAACCGTTTCCCTTGGATTTAACCTCCAGTCATTTATTATCGACTATTTTGAACTCCTGCTGTTTCAAAATGTTTTTCTTTTCCCCTGTGAGTTAGAAATTGCGCGGTTCAATTGTACGATCAATTCTGTCGTCTTTAGTCAAAAAATGCAAATTACCTTTCTTATTATGCTAGCCCTAGTTGTTCAGAGAAAGGATAACGCTAAATAGTAGTCTGCTTTGTCAACGAAATGTAAAGAACCGGAAACAAACTCGGCAACGTGACAAAAGTAACATCTTTTTGCCTTTCGAAAACACATCCGAGCATTTTACATGCAAAAAATTACGAAAATAGCAACTAAGCCCTCTCGACCTCCAAAACTAAGCCCAAGGAAAGGTATGTTGAGAAAAAATATGGGCAATGTGTGTTTTTTGGAGGTTAACTAAAATATGTTCTGCAATTGTGTTCATTCAGGTATCCAAGCCTGGAGCCGTTACTATGGCAACAGCTCATTTACGACCCAGACAGGCGCGCTGGTAGCGTGTTGTCACTCATCACAGTCGCTGCGCTAGTCGGAGAGTTCTCGTTCTCGGATCCTCATTCCCAGGCTGCCTACTTCCAGCAGGCTTTTCCCGTCATCCTTCCCTGGGTGTTGACCCCGCATGTTACGGTAGGCTATGTGTGATAAGTTGTTGTTTAAATGTTGATTAACAACTGCATCAAGCTGTATGGAAGATGGGTGCACAGGATGTCTGGGGGCTCCTGGACAGTGAAACACTCCCATGCCTTAGCCATGAGCCCCCACATGCAGTCATCCAGGCCCCCATCACACTGAAATAACAGTGGAAAAGGGGAGTGGGGGTAGAAAAATCGAGAACAAAATAACCCGAAGCTCCACGGAAATCCTCCACGTTCGAACACGCTACTACAATGCAGTACTCTGCACCTGCGCGAACGTCCAAGGACTGCTGACCTCCTGCGAATGCTAGCTTCCCTTCTTTTTAACTTAGATGAATTTTGCATTTAACTGCATTCAATAGGAGTGACGCAGAAAACGCGTTGGCCTAAAAGTAATGGTGAGGGTGCTGGACTCTGAATCACGCGGTCCGAGTTCAAGGCCTGTGCGCGATCATTGCTTTGTTTTCCTGAGGAAAACACTTTATTCTCACAATGCCTTTTTCCACCAAGGCGTATTAATGAGAACAAGTCAATTTTGTTGTTGGGGACAACACTGAGATAGATGAGCATGTCATCCAGGGGGTGGAAATACAGTGGTAAAATCTCGAGCGGAATTTGGCCTTTTGACGTGATGCCGATTTTACCAGTAGGAGTGACGGGAGGGGGTGTGCTAGTAATATATCAAACAAGACAGACCGTTCTTGACCACATCTCCAAACTCACAAGTGCGACGTGTAGCGGAGTATTTTCGATGAACCTCGAGGTGTTTGGTAATGTGGTTAAACACTGTCTTGACTGTTTGATATATTTTCTCAGTCGCAACTAAAACTAAAGAGAAAACGAAGAAATAAAATCTTAAAAATCTCTGCTAATTTAGATCAAATATCCAAACACCGTCACGGTCATTATTTACTTTGTTTAAACTTGATGAATTATTAATGAGTTTGAGAATTCTGGGTCCTGTGTCCGTTTTCTTTCCGTTGCCACTCTTCAATCTCAATGAACAACAACAACAAAAATACTGTTCGTGTGACTTCTTCATCTAGTAGCTTTCCCGTCCCCAGCTCTACCAGATTTCTCCTAGCTCAGTCCCGCTCACCCCCCCCCCCCCCCCCCCCCCCCCCCCC